ACACACCATTAACAAAACAAAAATTATTGTTGAACTTTTACAGAATTAAATGTAATTTTCGGTTTTAATAAAAAAATCTTTAAAAATTCATAATCTCTGTTAGAACCAAAATTGAAACTCGGGACTTCTACTCCTACATTCAAAATTATTAGCTCCATCGATTGGGAACTTAAAAAACATGTGTCCGTTTTTTGGGCTTAAAATTATACTGTGTGACGTAGGCATCCGCTAAGAAAGGATTTTGATCAATTCTACCCCCAAGGGGATAAAATAGGGAATGAAAGTTTGTATGGAACTTTGTCAATTTTAAACCGATCGGGCTGAGACTTTGCATGCAGGTATAAGAAAAATCATAAATGAATGTCATTGTATATAATACAACAATTCAGCTCTACACCGAAGCGAAGCGAGGGCGGACCGCTAGTTTTTAATATTTCTTCTTAACAGGCTCCGGTTTGAACGAAAACCAAACAACGTGTGCACTGCACACAGGTGTTATCTCCTTTGTAGTATCGAATAATTAAAACCCAGTCATCTCTATGGTTTCTATTTCTAGGAAACCTATTAGAAAGAAGACAAGACAATAATTTATATAAAATATTCTATGAATAATATGGCTTCTTTTCTTTTCCTTTTGGGATACGGAACCCTAAAAATTTACGAAATCTTATCTTGCCTAGTCACAAATGCAAGAAATACACATTTCCCTACTTTTAGGGAAAATTTCCCGTAAATAAAGTAGCCACACAGTTGTATTTTTGTTTACAATTTTCATCCTTGTAAATAAAATATAATATAAAAAAAATATCAAGAATCGTCAATACTTAAGCATAGTAGATGATTCCTTGTGACTTTTCATATTTACTCGTGTAGTTTTTAAAAGATTTCACCACACAAGACGGCTTTTTATTTAAAATATATCGGAGCAATTGAACGTGTGACTGGCGCTGTCACGCGAGTTCAAATGGCAGCGGATTGTCCGACCTGGTACATTAGTGTGAGTGTAGGTAGTGTACAACACACGATTTTGTCTGACCTACATGTCATTGTCATGCTTCACAAGATTTGCCTTTGATATTACGTCCGTCTTTTTTTCAGGTCCGTGATATATACATATAAAAAATATAAAATGAAATTAAAATATGTGATTGCTTATTCTAAAAGGCAGAGTAATTTGAAATATATTAGGAAAAGTACTAATAAAGCAAAAGCCACATGGGGTCTAATAAAATTACATACAACACAAACAACTAAATTAAAAGAATCAATAAAAACATTAAAAAATAACGATATAATTTTAACTCAACCGCAAAACATAGCCAACTATTTAAATGATTACTATGTCAAATTAAACGCAAATAATACAACCCATAATCAATACATTCCCCGTAACACCTCTTTGACTAATAGCATATTTCTAAAACCCACAACTTTAAATGAAATAAAAGACTGCACTAAAAAGCTTAAAAATAAAAAAAGTTGTGGATATGACGGAATATCAATTCAAATAATAAAATCATGTATCGATATAATTGCTCGCCATCTGGTTTATTTAATAAATATGATGATAGAAAAATGCTGTTTCCCTGACAGTTTAAAAATTGCTATTATTAAACCAATACATAAAAAAGGACCTCGGGACTTGGCAAGCAATTACAGACCAGAATTGCTCTACTTCCAGCGTTTTCAAAAATATTTAAAAAGGTTTTATACACGAGATTGATGGAATTTATTGAGAAGAATAATATATTAAGCAATAACCAATTTGGATTTAGAAAGGATTTGTGAACATCCTCGGCTGTCTATAGTTTTTTAAAATATGTGTGGAAATCAATAGATGAAAAAAAATACTGTGCAGCCTTGTTCATTGATATGTCACGTGCTTTTGATTGCGTTGTTCATTCTATTCTGCTTAAAAAACTTGAGCATATTGGAATTCGAGGTTGCGCGTTAAAACTAATAGAGTCATATCTTTTTAAAAGAATGCAAACGGTAAATTTGACATATTTGGATAGGAAAACAAAAACTTTGCAGGAAACTAAATCAGAATATCAAATAATTCCAATAGGTGTGCCGCAGGGCAGCATTCTAGGGTCATTATTTTTCCTTGTCTACATCAATGAGCTACCAAATATTATTAAAGATCTATGTACAATGTATGCTGATGACGCGACTATTTTATTTGTTAAGAATGACTATATATGTAAGAATGACTTTGAACTTAATATATCTCTGACATTACAAAATCTGACAATTTGGCTTAAATCAATCAATTTAACAGTTAATTTAATAAAAACTAACATTCTACAATTTAGAAATTATAAAAAAGAACATTTGGACCTTAAAATTGCGGTAAATGGCACCAAAATAAAAGAAGTAGAATATGCTTATTTCCTTGGTATTACCATAGATACTCACCTGAATTGGAAACATCGAATAGAGAAAATTAATGACAAAATAAGTAGTTATTGTTACGCCCTCTCAGTGTTGACCGATATATCATCCACTGAAGTAGCATTAAATGCTTAATAAGGTAATATATATTCCATATTAAGCTATGGAATCATATTTTGGGGCAATTCTGTTAATGTTGAAAGTACATTCCTATTACAATAAAGGTGTTTAAGAATATTTTTTAATAAATATAGTGACGAATCAATGCGTAATATTTTTAAAGAAAAACAATTTTTAACATTGACCTGTATTTATATATTAGAAATGTGTAAATTTTTAAGATGTCATATGTCTGAATTCCCAAAGATCTCTGACAAGAGAGCTAGAATAACCCCGATGAGACGTGAAGACAAATTACATTTACCTCGGTCAAATTCAGCAATTTTTGAAAAAAGTACTTATATGTCTGCCATACGAATATACAACAATTTATCGCCTTATCTGCGGTCACTCCCTGAATATAAGTTTGTTAGGTCCCTGAAGCAATGGCTATTATATAATGCATTTTATAATCTTAATGAATATTTTAATAATAATGTTTTATAAAAATATTGCATGCCCGATTAGGGTAACTGTTTATTTCAATTATGTGCACTAACATCTAGCAGTAATACTAAATGTAACAGTTTTGCAATAAAGAATTATTCTATTCTATTCTAGAACGAGTAAGTGTAATTCAATGTGCTTAATGTCTCATAAAAGAAGCTCTTTAAATAAGCAGGTAGCAAGCCAAATACTGACAGGTAAAAAGGAAGCAAGCACATCTGTTGTCAGAATAGTGAGATTCATCTCAAACCAAGTAATAATAATATGTCTGCTATACTACCATAATATTTATAAATTACATACTTATTCCTACGACTTCGCCCGCGTAGAATCAAGTTTGTAAAGCCTCAGTACTCATTAGCGGCTGAGGCTTATGGAAACCACCATACAAACTTTTTTTTGTCTATTTCATCCCTTGTAACTTTTATAATTTAATGATATAAAGTGAGTATTTTGCCAAGATCCTCTTTATATCTATATCAAATTAGTTAAGCGGCTTAGGCGTATATAAGAGTAACAGACAGATAGATGAACTTTCAAACAGAATTACTTTCGGATTATTTTGTAATATTAGATTGGATATCTATACTACTGTTAAAAGAAGAAAGATTTGATTGTTTGTTTGTATTGTATAGGCTCCGAAACTACTGAACCGATGTGAAAAAATCTTTCACATTTAGAATTCTACATTATTCATGATGAACAAAGACTAGTAGAGTATTTTCAAAAAAATTTAGGGCTGTATGAAAATTTCGATTATGTAACCCAATATTTGAAAAAATACCAACAAATAACCTTATATCGCGTACGCTTCGGAAGACATTAGAGATAAGTGATGTACCTACTAAAGTTTTATAGAGGACATCAATACCTACAAAAAAGTTCCCGATACTATATGTCTAACTATTACAGTTACGTCACAATTAGAGGTGCTCTGCGGTTTCACCCGCGTAAATTTTAGGAAAAAGGTTATAGTGTGTCAAACTTGGGCATATGCTGTCGCGGACTTTCTTATAGAACTTTTAAAGGGGAACATTTATGTCATATCATGATTTTTATGTAACTTTCACCGTTCACGCAGCACACGCAATGGAAGCTCACAAATGGAATATTTTTACCCGTTTTTGCAACATTTTTCATCGATGTACTACTCCTACTGGTCGTAGCGTGATGTAATTACAGTAGAACGCCGATTATCCGAATTCATTGGGACCGGGGTCGATTCGGATACTCGAAAATTCAGATAATCGGACATAGACTAACTATAAAGAAAAACGTACTGTCACACATAAAATAAACTTTATTAAGTTTAACAAACACAGTTCTACAATACTAGACACAATAATAGAGGTACATAGTAGCAAAAAAAACCGAGCGACGCAAAACATGTAATGTCTTGCCACTAGCTTTCAACCATAACAGTTGAAATATATTTGGACTCCGAGTTTCTACTTGTTACAACATACGAGTAACAAAACAAAAATAACTTGGTTTTAATTTTGTATATTACGCTTAGGACCGATTCGGTTAATCGGCGTTCTACTGTATATAGAAAAAGTCATTGTCATACAAGCATGAGAACAAATACTAAAGTCTATACTGAAAATCTAAACCGAAGCGAAGCGAGGGCGGGCCGCTAGGCGACAGATAAATGATCTTTGTTCATGCAGCTGTGAGACCGGTGATGTTCTTTTCCTGGAACACATTAAACTTAATTTTCTCATTTTATTATTTTCTCAATATTCGACAGAGAGCGAAACAAAAATGTTTTGATATATTGCGAGTGAGACAGGCAGCCACAGAAATACATTTTTGTTAACAGAATATAAAACTATCGTAGAACGTAGAAGACAAAGGACTGGCGTAACAGCCATAATATTATTCTCCTATATTTAATATTGGATTATATCTAAATATCTGAGCATATATGACGTTCTGTGTGTTCTGTGATTTTATGTAAAATATCTTTTCCATGTTTGTATATTTTGTCTTGCTTTCAGACTTTAATCCACACTCCGTTGCTACGCGATTATTTTCTCGGCGAGAAGCACAAGTGTAAGGCACAAGGCACTGGGAAATGTCTAGTGTGTGAAGTCTCAAAGCTGTTCCAGGTAAAATTCACATTACTCGCTTTATTCTTTATCATCAAATCAATAACTCCCTATTGACGGATATTTAAGCCTGCAACTCTCACTTTCTTTTCGATAGCAATAGAATAAGACAATATATGTCATTTTGACAAGCGTTAAATATGATGGACATATTTAAGGTGCGGCCGTATTAAAAGGACATGGTAAAGTTTTGTATGAGCGACTGCCCTGGCAATGTATAAATACTGTACTTAGTAATATTTAATGGTAAATGACTGAATATTTATAATTTCTATGAAAAAAGGCTCAGGAACTTTTGATAAAGTCACAATCTTGAAAATTATGAGAATTCCTACTATGTCATTACCTTACTACAGTTGATAAAAGATGTTGACAATTATTTACCTAGTCATTAATTTCGCATTTTCTTTGAATCTTTCTTCCCATTTCTCTGATTAACACGTCACAAAAAGTTTTTAAAGCAAAAATAAATACAAATAATTTGTTATCATTGACCTGACAGGAAATCTATGAAGTTTTATTTTGTCCATTTGCAAAAATTAAAGGATTAATTATCACACAGCCTTGTCTCAAGCCTGATCAGAAAAATAAAATCTATTATTTTAGACCTTCACTGATTTGTTATTATAAAAATTAAAGCCAAATAAGTCATAGTTAGAAGGACTTTAGAAATAACACTGTTTATTTCGATATACTTACACAAATATTTTTTGTGTACATTTATTTTGTAAAACGGAACATTTTGCTTTTGAAACAGACATGAAGTCAATTTTAATACTTTTAAATATTTGATTATTTTACGAAAGTTATATGAGAATACTAAACACGTAATAATTAGTAAAAAAATATTGTAAAGTTACGGGCCAGTGCGAAATAATTATACACGTTAAGGGCAGTTTCTTAGCCATGTCCTTTAGGTTGCTGATTTAAAGGTAAAATGTTTATGGTGACTACAGCCTATCAAACTATCAGTAATATTTATACTGTCAATTCAAATTCAATGCAATGATCAACACCAAATGAAATTATTCAAGTTGTTTCTAACTAGGTACTTCCGGCTTTTAAATATGGTGTCTTTTCAATAATCTGATATGACGAAGAAAAAAATATAGAAATGGTAATTCTAGTGTGAGTTTATAAATTTATAATAACTGCAAAAAAGTTGCGTTCGGCCAACCATAAATAATACATTATGAAGTGTTTACTGCTCAAAATCCCTTCGTCGCTGTATATTGTTACTTGTTAGGCACAACAACAAGATATTTGCAAAACATCAAACTTGCAATACCGAAAATTTCATAAGTTAAGTTTTGATCGCGTCACCTAATGACCAGCTTTTTAGAAAGTGCTTATTACAGGGCCTCTGCTCTCTTGAAATGCATAGATATTAAAAATTCGTACTTAGTCGTCTTATGTTATTTATTCGTGTGCTTACACTTGGACATACTACTCTGTGTAAAAAGTATCTGGAATATGTCAATAAAAAAAACACGTAAAAGAGGTCGTTTTAATTTTTTACTGCATGTTGGTAGCATTGTACTGATTTACCGCGCAAAATTAGAGCGGGATCTGTTATATAATTTGTTTGAAACTGCACTTTTTGTTGGTCATAGTTTTGAGTCCTCGGTGATTTTTACAATGGAAAATATTGTTGAACAAAGAGTGTGCCTCAAATTTTGTGTTTCGAATGAGATTTCATGTGGTGAATCGCTAAAAAGGTTGCGGCGAATCGTGCATATCAAAAACAAGGACATATTAATGGTGTAAGGTTTTTAGAGAAGGCCGAGAAGTAGTAGACTTGCCTCGTTCTGGTAGACCTTCAACCGCTACGACCAAAGAAAACATCGACAGAATTAAGTGGCTAGTGCTCGAAAATCGACGTATGAGTCTGAGAGCGTTGGCTAGTGAGGTGAACATATCTTCGTTCTGGTAGACCTCCAACCGCTACGACCAAAGAAAACATCGACAGAATTGAGCGGCTAGTGCTCGAAAATCGACGTATGAGTCTGAGAGAGTGAGGTGAACATATCTTTTAAGTCCACAACATTCTCATTGCCATTTTAGGCATGAAACGCGTCGCCGCTCGACTAGTTCCAATTTTTTTCAAAAAGCTTATAGAAAGCATGTCGCTAACTAAGGAAATGGTATCCCGAGCTTCGGATCCTACTTTTATGAAACGTATAATAACTGGCGACAAGACTTGGGTTTATGAGTACGACATGCAAACAAGCCAACAGCCTTCAGAATGACGTTTCGAAAACGAGCCGAAAACCAACAAACCGCGGCAAAGTCGCTCCAAAATCAAGGTGATGCTGACAGTTTTTTTTCCTACTACCTCCTACTCGTACACTCCGAATTCCTTCCAGATGGAGAAACGGGTAATAAGAATATTATTTAAACGTCATGAAGCGTTTGCATTAGAGTATCCGCCGAAAACGTCCAGATTTGTGGCAACATAACTCATGGTTGCTGCACCATCACACAGCCATTATTGTGAAAGAGTTTTAGCGAAAAATTCAACAAAAGTTCTTGACCAAGCACCGTATTCACATGATATGGCTTCGTCTGACTTTTTTTATTTCCCAAGTTAAATTACCACTTCGAGGAAAACGTTTTGTGTCGATAGAAGCCATACTCGTACAAGAAAATTCATAGAATGAGCTAAAGGTCATAGGGGGCGTCCATAAATTACGTGAGGTGCTTTTTGAATTTTCTGTCCCTCCCTCCCCCCCTTGTCGTGAGATTTTATTCAACTCTCTCCCCATCCCCCAATCTCACGTGAGATTTTTCAAAATATGGGTTACTTACGTAAACGCGTTGGATTGTTATTGTAAACAGAAAAAAAAACGCTTCGTGCTTTTATTTACGACTACTTAAGACTAGTTATCAATATTGCTGAGAGTTATATCTTTCGAACGAATTAGTTAATGATCTTAATCGTATTACGATTACGCTTAAGATTTCATCTTAAGCATCTACAATCTGGATTAAATGGACCAAAATAGTATATTTTTTTTGTTTCAAATCAGCCAATTCATTTACTTGTATTTGTTGATCAATAATAGAATATTTATGTTTAATAATAACAAGCGGCCTGTCCCGGCTTCGCACGGTTAGGAATTTACTTAAAAACATTTTGGGATGCCCCTCTTTACTACTACTGCCCAGCAATGGCCTGCGAACGTAACCCGAGACGTTAGTTGTTAGATAGTTTTTTTTAAGCATGTAAGCGTTGTGTTACTGCTTGATGTTTAAATCTAAAGAAAATAGAACTGGAAAAAAAAACCACGCAGACCAGGTTGTTAGTTAGTCTTCAAATACTTACCCAATAATTTCATTAGCTATAGTTCCCTCTTTCCGAAATACAGTAATACATTAGGATTACTATTTTACGGGAAAATACCTCTCTCGCACTGCGGTAGTAGGTTACGACCATACTGAATATTAGGGTGGCTTGGTAGTAATATCAAGTGGCCTCTACTACAATTTGAATTTATCTGTGATATTGGTGTAATTGTTATGTGCAAAAAATCAATTTCTGTAATGAAAAAATATAATACAGATACGTAATAAAAATGACAAAATAATCAATAAATGTTCAGAGCAAAATATCTTTTTTCCTCGGCTTTCTATCGTCGTAGCTTAATAAATTACGCAGAATCTATTGAATTGATTAGCTTTGTCTGTATCTATATTTACAGTGAGTTCATATTTATACTAACGGAAACAGATTGTAAATATAAGTTTATTTAGTGCAACCAAGTGGTTCGTGAACTTTGGTTTAGGGATGTGGTAGGTTATAATCAGACATTTTAAAGGGCAAGCAATAAACGGGGCGGTGTCAAGTGCTTGTTAAAAATCATTTTGTTTTAAGTAAGCGAGATTTATGTCTGCAACAGTAGTAAGCCATAAAAAACCTTCAACTTTGCTTCGCATTGATTTTTTTGGTTGCTTGGTAAAGTTGCAAATGGACCGTTGCCAAATATCATCCATCTGAACGCACTTAAAATTAAAAAGAAACAATTTTAAATTTGTCGCTAAAATAAATGATGTGATTTAACGGGTGTTATTGATTAGTGTTAGATTTCAATACGAAAACTTAGTTTCTTGTGATTTTGGGACCCTCTTCCAAAAATTATCTAAGTATATAAACGAAAACAAACAAAAAATATTAAAGATTTTATTTTTAAAAGAAAGATGTCAACTCTCTTCTCATCATTTATGTAAGTAGGTGAATGTGTTTAAATGTATCGTGTAAATTAAGAGCGGACGCGAGCTGAGAGACATTTGAGGAATATGTATTTGAAATTGCGTATAAACATTGCAAAATTCGAGGTTTGGCTCTCGGCGTTTTCCTCCACAGTAGACGTCTTTAGTGGTGATAAAAAATTGTTTACTATTGGCGTTTTTCGAGGGCTTCTAGTTTCTTTGAATCACAAGTAATCGAAAAAAGGAAGACATACGAGCATAGAATGAGTAAAATTGTATTTTATGTATGAAAATCAATTTTTAAGTGATAAAAATCAAGGAGGAATCAGTCGAGAACGTTTGTATGGAAAAAGCATTGCCTGCCTCCCCTCTTAAGCGGTATTTTTTACCCGACTGCGAAATGCAAGAGCGCGACGCGCAGACGGAATAGTGTTTAACAGTCTATATGTATGTATGTACCTTTGTGACACTCTAGAGAACAAACGCGTGGACCGATTTTGATGATTCATACATCAATGGATTCGTATTTGATTGAACGTAATATGACTATCAGTGCGACGATACTTGATCTGGAAATAACAACACAACAATGAGTGAACGACACTTATATATCACGACTTGACTCATTGACTAATGTTTCACTAATTAATAAACACATTAATTAAAAACATCACAGACAAAAGATAGAATGCGATCGCATCTATTTCCCCAAGCTGTGAAAATAAATGACCCACCGCCGTATTTTTAATTACACATAGTTTTGGAATGTTAATAATCCTAAATCGTTATTAAAAATTAGGTAAAAATCATTCAAGTGAAATGGTTTTTATGAATTTTGTATACGTTACAATTACCTTACAATTAACAGACGGATAAACATTCAGAAAAGATATTTCAATTTAAAAGATAAAAAAATGTTATGTATATTGTTAATAATTAATGTAATTTTATAAGAATTTATTGTTAGTTTGAAAGGACGACTACACTTTTGAATTAGGTATATACCTGTTATAATGGTGTAATGTATTTTGAATAAATAAATGTTACCGATACTTTACGCACTACTACTCCCTTGCGCTCGATTTCGATTGTATATAGAGTTTCATGTTTCATCCCAGAGCATTTACCAGTTTGGTATAATGCTCTAAGCATTACATAATTTAAGTGTAAGCAATAATCCCACAAAAGTAGATACTGAATAAGCTACTTAGTAACTAAAATCTGTAAAGTACTAGATACCGTCCTATTCTTGCGGTAGTTCGCTGTGACCTCTACTAAAGATAGTTTTTTCAAAGTCTCCGAGCGCAACGATATTAAATACCGTAGATACACCACGTGCGTTCAAAATGTGTCCCAATCAAGAAGTGCTTGAACACGACTCAAGCACTTCTTGGATTACAGTCACGCGCGGACCGTTGAAAGGTTAAGATGCCGCAGAGCTCCGTGAAAAAATGCGAAAAGTATATATATATATATATATTATCTAATATATTTATAGTAAGTAAAGTGCAGTTTTTTGACAAGTATCTAATCAATGTTTGATAATTTAACGCATTTGAAGGAAATTTTGTTCTCATACTTACTATAAACTGACTTAATAGTAAATATTTGTGATATTCAAATGTATTGTTGGTTATATAGCCGTCTCTTTTCCTCGCGGTCCGTACCTGCTATATTGCTAAGAGCTCAATCAGAATTGCGCGTAGAGTCAAAGAAATAAGGACTATATTCTTCCACATATAGCTATAAGCCGTAAAATTTTTCGAGCTTGCATTTCGAACTGTCATATCTGTTTGACGCATGCGTTTTGATGAAGACCTTAAACAGTATGCATGAAAGGTCAATGTTTAAATATGCCTTATATTGTTTTTGACTACGCGATCATCTTCACAGCTCCGTGGATCGCCCAATGTTCTTTAGGACAGGTTTCTGTCGAGATTCTGTTCGTGTTGTTGTATCTAGGGTATTTAATATCGTTGTCCGCGTGACATAAACATCTGCTACGGAGGTCTTCCAATAATAAAACATTTTTTGCTCAAAAATATCTCGGAACATCCAGGAAAACTTTATTTAACTTACAATTCTACCCGATAGGTGGCGTTGCAGTTGGGTTTTACGATATTTATTGAGCGGGGCGATGTCTGCTTTGCTTAATAAAAAAAATAATAAAACAATCGTCACCAGGAGTTCTACTCGGGCGCGAAGACCCCGTTGACTCTGCACCGCCTTCTGCACCTGATCTGGACGCACGCGCGCCACCTGGCGGGTTACGAGCAGCAGGACGCACACGAGTTCTTCATCGCCACGCTGGACGTGCTGCACAGGTGACCCACACACTTGGCACGACACTGGTCTACAAAGAGCCCGTTGACCACAATCCGCTATGCCCTACCTCTCTTGCTTGATATACGATGAACAATCTTTTGAGAAAACTTCGATAATCTGTGGTTACTTGATGTGTGTCTGTCTCCACGTATAATATCACATGTCCAATATAATTGTACTCTTGCACTGAACCAATTTACATGATATTTAGTGTAGAAATAGTTTGAGTCCCGATAAAGGTATAAGGATAATTTTTATCCCCGAAATTTCAAAAGCCTTCTCCTTTCCTCGTTTCGTTTCTGGGTAGCTGGTTTCCTGCATGAGCGAAGTAAGTGTCCGTCACAATCTAAATACTGATAATTATCGCAAAAAATATACTAAGAATTATCATAAATGCCGAATTGGTGTTGGTTCTTAGGCCAAATTTAACATTGTCCTTTTACTCTGAAACGCTAACATCCAATTTTCAAATTCCAGGCACTGCATGAACGGAGTAGAAGACACCGAAAAGAAGGAAAATGGCCGTTGCAACTGCATCATAGATCAAATATTCACGGGCGGCTTGCAAAGCGACGTAGTCTGCACCTCTTGTTCCGGCGTATCCACCACTATAGACCCATTCTGGGACATAAGCTTGGATGTGGCCGGGCCGGGATCTTTGCAAGCTTGTTTAGAGAGATTTACCCGCGCTGAGCATTTGGGGTCCGCAGCAAAGATAAAATGTTCCAAATGTCGTGCTTACCGCGAATCTACTAAACAACTAACCCTGGAAACCCTTCCTATAGTGGCTAGTTTCCACTTAAAACGCTTCGAGCATTCTTCCCAGATTGATAGGAAGATTTCCGCCTTCGTTTCCTTCCCAGCGGAATTAGATATGACTCCTTTTATGTCTTCGCATCGCCGTGCCGTGGATGTGGGGGTTGATAACAATAATGCTCCCGAAGGCATTTTCGAGGATAATCGCTACTCGCTATTCGCCGTAGTGAATCACTTGGGGTCTCTCGACGCTGGACATTATACGGCCTATGTGCGACAGATGAAAGGCAGCTGGTTCAAATGTGACGATCATATGATTACCCGCGCGTCTCTGAGGGAGGTTTTAGATAGCGAAGGGTAAGTTTTTTAAAGTTACTAATAAATATAGTTAATCTTAGGCTATTCGTATTTGCTATTTGTAAACTTGACATCAGTCTGTTCTTCTATTCCTTATAAAGCATGATAAGGACGGACTGTTGTCAAGATTGCAAATAGCAAATACAAATATCTAACAGAAATGCCGGACCAAGATTTCTATAACAATATCGATACTAATATTATAAATGCTGTAGTGTGTCTGTCTGTTATCACTTTACGCTTAAACGGCTGGACAGATTTAGATGAAATTAAGTATAGAGATCATTTAAGTCCCGGAAAAGGACATAGTATATTTTATTCCAGTAGTCATCCTTGAAGGGGGTGAAATGGGGTGGAAATTTGTATGGCAACAAAATTTTTCCAAACAGACGAACGCGGGCACCCACTAAATTCATATATATATATATATATATGTCGGATGGGGGCGAGCGGTATATAGGCGGTTGGCCACGTGGTTTTTCTTGATCCGCCATCTTGGTTATTCAATGATATTTCCCGAAAATAAAACTGTAGTCTAGTGACCCAGCTAACGTTTAATATGAATCTTCTTATTACTTTACAATATCAGTTATGATTGCCAAGGTACAAACGGATTGCTTTGTGAAGCGCGGAGAGTTCTGTGCTAACGTCCGTTCACTATCGCGGATCACGTCTGAATGCCGATGCCGAATGCCCCTTCCAATGAAGCGTTACCCCCATAAATACTACCCTTAACATAGACCACTCCCAAGTGATGACAGCTGTCACTGTCATTACTTGACGTTTCACAAGGCAATGGTACACTGACTAATGACATTTGTTGTCGGTTTTACGTTTCGAAGGAGCGAGTGAGACGCCATCCGCCGACATATATATATATACTAGGTGTCCCAGCGCATTTCGTACCGCCATAAAAAAATAGGGGTTGGTGGTAGAAGGGTGAAAATTTAGGGTTGTATGTATATTTGTATAATGTATCTTAAAAATTTTTTTTATCTAAAATTGAAAAAAAATATTAGGGGTGGATTACCCTTAACATTTAGGGGGATGAAAAATAGATGTTGTCTGATTCTCAGACCTACCTAATATACACACAAAATTTCATGAGAATCGGGAAAGCCGTTTCGGAGGAGTTTAACCACAAACACCGCGACACGAGAATTTTATATATTAGATAGTATTTTATAACCAGGTAGGCAAACGACTTTATCCCACCTGATGTTAAGTGGTGATAAAGTCCTAACGAAGATAGCTGGTACAGCAGTTATGAACTACCACACCAACCATCCTCACCTTGCCGGCCTGCAAAATGCTTCTTCACGCCTCTTTCAAAAGAACCCGAGATTGAAGGAATGAGGGAACATGTGCGCGGACAAAGAATTCTACTTACGAATAGTACGACAAAGAAATGAATCACCTAATTTCTTTCTTCGTGTAGGAATAGTGGCCACAGTAAGTCGGTGACAACGTAGGCCAGCGCGCGTGGTCCTCGGAAGGAAAGGGGAAGATGGAAAAAGAGAGAATAACTTTTCAGATCACTTGCCGTGGTACAGACGATAGAACGCGCTTAGGGATGCCACGTCACGGCGTAATTAAAGAGGCTCGAGGTGTTGTGTTGAGAATAACTCCTCAGAGCACTCGCCGTGGTATTGTCGGTAGAATATGCTTAATGATACCACATCGCGGTGTAATTGTAGAGACTCGAGTTTGTTAGTTACCTCTTCATCGCCAATGATACGGGCAGTGCGCCGTTGCAACCTATCCAAAGCATCGAGTAGGTACTTAGCGGAGCCATCCCAGAGGTGCGAGCAATATTCCACGCAGGACCGCAGCTTTATACAAGAAGCACAATTGATCAGGCGTGAAAATACGTCGCACCTTGTTCAGGACTCGAGTTTGCGTGAAGATGTTTTGATCTAGTCCTTTGGATTCAGGTCTAAGCGAACTTCCATACCGAGTATGCTGATGTTGCTCTTAAGCGCCTCTTCAGGGTACAACACTGGCTTAATTCTGAATGGAGGAAGTTTTCTCTCAACTTGTCAGTATAATTTTTTTCGCATATATCTCTGACTTAATTGGGTTGATATTGCTGATGTTTTTTATGAAATAAATAGGGCTAACTTGCTACTTAAATATGGTAAAGAGAATTTTTCATGTTCGTCAAGATCTTTGTAGCATAGTGGCAGCCTTCGGATAGGAAAGGGCGTTGGTTCGATGTCAGCCTCATTGACCAAGTTGATTTTTTACTTGGTTAAACATTATATATACCTAATTAGTTTTTATTTGGTTATTAAACAGTTTTCCAAAGCACAATAACAAATTTCAAACAAATATTTTATAGTACAAATGTGTTTCTTTTTCAGGTATCTTCTCTTCTACCACAAGACTGTTTTGGAGTACGAGTGTGATGTATCTTAAACGCTTAACAACTTAAATTGTTGTAAGTCAAATCACAATTATATTTCTGAAAATGAATCATTATCTTACTGTCTGAGGCCCAAGCACGAAATTTGACAGCTCTTGCCCGCCTAGCATGAGCACCGTGATATGATATATTACTCGTTTTTATCATGCTCAAGTGTCAAATTACTATGGAGTTTGTCAGTTACACGCGATCAAAAACGTGATATAACGTAAATTGAGGTGCTCATGTTACGAGGACTGATTCGTATTGCATCGCCAAAGTTTCTATGGAAACTAAGCAACGCGCGCACCAGACATAAAAACAAACTGTTTCCTTCCATACAAAATTTGACGATGACGATACGATTACGGATCTTTCAAAGTTGGCGCTTGGGGTACTGGTGTAGTTCCACATCATATCTATACGACATTTGGAATGCTTATAACTAGGTAAGTCGAGACTTAATTTTGGATATGTTAAAATTAAATAAAAAAAAGTCATGTTGCCCTCGTGATATTAGCGATTAGATGTTTAAAAGAAGATTGAAAAAAAAAATACATCTCTTATGTTTAAATTGTGGAAACATTCACGAATTTGTTAGTCTTAAGCTTTAATGTAATTAATTAATGTCCTTATGTATACTCTATTATTATTAAACAAAATTGTTGAATCAGTAAAATATAATATCAATTGCTAAATTTACCATTATGATTATATAGTATTAGGTCGAATAATGCTTTATTGAGCTGCAAGGAGAACAATTACCTTGTATCAAATGCGCAGAGCTGGTGTTCTAAATTAATTCTATTTTATTGCATCGTTTTAGGATTTTACCATAAACTTAGAGTATCTTATAATAATTTATATTAAAAAATGATTGAAATAATAAATTGACATTGAATTACGTTTGATGATATAATAATCTGATTCCAATATTGAAATATATTACTGTTTTACTGCTAAGATTTAAATTTTCTTCGGAACAAACTACAAGCTACCTCGCTGTTATAATTTTTCCGCAGTTCAGAATAAACTTGAGAATGTTTGTTGTTCTGGCGCGCTTTACCCGTTTTCAATAAAATGGCGTGCAGTGTGGCTGGTTTTGTAATGTGTAAAAGAAATGGAGTCCCCTTTTCTGTAGAAATTAAGGTTTATCTATATTCGCATACTCTACTCCTTAGATATTGTTCAGAGGCCATATTATAAATTCTTAACTTGAGGTCATATTTTGCCGGCGGGTGCTAAGGTATTTTTTTTTAAATAACAATATAGTAAAATTTATTATTCATATAAAATATAATATTTTATTTAGCATGCGCGGAAGATACTGAAATATATCTGTACTATTCGTAATCTTTACGCATTGCTAAATCCGTTTTGATATAAAAAGTTCGTCTCAGTCTGGTTATGATGACAAAATGACGCTTATGATTATAGTCGTAAGAAGAATAAATCACAGAATTGATGGTAAAGAAGGGACGTGAATGTTAAGAGGTGATTTAATCATTATCGCAATGCTATTCAGAAAATAGTTCATTTTTTTGCACGACGTGTTGCATAATAATGTAATGACGACGCAATTCGTCATCATTTTGAGGTGGTTACTCGACTAGGAATTTAGACGAACGTCAAGATGACGGGACTCCGCCAGGTTTTCCGAATATACTGTGAATAGAATTTAATGCAATAATTCTACTATTTTATACTTACATAAGCAATACACTTTATAAAATTTTTAAATATTCAACTATGAAAGTGGTCCCTCTATTTTAATATAAAAATGACGGGACCAATAGTCAGCTATTGGAAAAAACACGGAGTGATCTTAACATGCACACATCTAATTTTAATATATAAAACTGCTTAAAAAATATACTTCTTCTTCAGGAGCATTTCAATTGTTATAATTTTTATATTGAAATTATAGTTTAAAAGTATAATAATTAATCAAAAGTAATCGTACTAAATCATATCAAAATTAGGTGTGTTCAATTTAAGATCATGCCATGGGTTTTTCATTAATTGACTAGTGGTCCCGTCATTTTACTATCATTAAAGCGGGACCTTATTCTTTGTAGAATATTTTGTAATTTTATTAGTGTAGAATTTTTCTATGAAAGTTTAAGGTAATAGAAATCCTATTCACATTATATTCGAAAAACTTGGCGGGGTCCCGTCATCTTCACGTTCACGAATTTAGTGTATTTAGCGATTGTTATTTTGAGATCTATTTGAAGGATAATAAACCTTCATTATGCTTAAGTGAATCTATCTGATTTTAATATAATGTAATTAGTTGTGTATACGCGTATATCTCGTATGTATACTGTGTATTTAGCTTAGACGGTTTGAAGTAGTAGATAATTTTTGACTGAACTGACATTAGCTTAATGTGATATTTAATATTTATGACTTGTACCTATTAAAAATGTAGTTAGTTATATGTATGGACTTAAATTTTCTGATATCAGATTTTTTTGTTTTATTAACTTTCGCTTGAGTCGGCGCTGGCAAATTGCGAAGTCAATTCATTAAAGCTTTAAATTTGTTGTAAAGTAGGTACGGGTATATTTGTAAATATTTTTTCAGTAAGAAAATACTCGAACATCGTTTGTTGAACTATCATTGTTAAAAATAATAAAAAGGTGTCTGTATTACTATAAGGTTTTTATCCGTTTGATTATTTAATTGCCATTAAAAACTACTGCTTCGCTGTTTGCTAGTTCCTGCAGTGAAATGATTTAATTTGCATTTAATAATTTAGTGACGTGGATCCGAGCCTAATCAAGTATCTAATAGTCCATATTATGATCATGTGATAAAAAAAAACTACTCTTTAGGTATTTGTGATTTCGATTTATCAGTGTATGAAATATAAATAATATTATTATAAGCTTACGTAAAAAATATCGACAGTTTCATTTCTAGATTTCAAATACATATTACAAAACAGGTGAAATTCGTAAAAAAACAGGTAAAATAAAATAATCATTATAAGAAAAATAAATTAATTATATAACTTGATGTTAAATGAAATTGTGATCATGGATTGACGTTTATCTAATCTTTCGGAACTTAACTGATCCTTGTTCAATGTTCTCTAGATTACATCTATCTAGAAATGAATGAATATGATGTATCAAATTAATGTTACTACTGTTGTTGTTGTCTTCTATAAAACCGTGTGTAATAAGAATATCAGCCGTTGTTGTTTCAATATCCCATGTCCGTAACACTCTGTTTAAAAAGGCATAACATAAATGTCATCTCATGTATGGTCTATAAATAAAGTATTCGAGAAAAAAGCAGTTTTGTTTGAGTTACTGGTTGAGTATGTTTTCTAAAGGTTGACACATAAGAAGAGAACCCATGGCGTTTGACAAGTTTGAAAAGGTGTAAAAATCACCTAGCCATGGATCCGTCTGTTACCTCTTTAGGCTTAAACTGCTGAACCGATTAAGATGAAATTGAGTATAAATAAAGATGGTTCGAGTCCTGGTAGTTTTTATCCTAGAAATCACCCTTTAAGGGGGTGAAAAGAGGGGTGGAAGTTTGTATGTAAAACCTATTTTTCCACACGGATAAAATCGCGGGCACCCACTAGTCTATGAATAAAATAAACCTGTGCTTAGTTTATTCAGCATATAAACATAGTGCTATTTAACAAAGAGAAGTTAGCGCAAGTCTCATCGTGCAGTGCAGTGCCTCTGATATATATTTTAAAACAGCGAGCGTTTTTAAACGGACGACGCTGTTCGTCGTCCGTAAAATGAGGAATCATACAAATTGCCTGCGACAGATACACTGTCTGGTACTACGATTTGATTGATACTACATGCTCTAAAATCACTTTAATTTTTTTATTCTTCACACCTATGATTACGAGAGCTCGAATGTAGGCACTACACAACTAAAAACCAAATTTCGTTTTCATATAACGTTTATTTTCAAAATATCACAACTAATTTGCTTAAAGCATTAAGATGCTGTAACATGAAAAATGTTAATAAATACAAGGCGTTGGGCCCTTTTAATAAATCTTACGTCATTTTATGACAAATTTCGATGAGTATAATATAATGTTTAACAAAATATGTAATTCTGTGTGTCATAGTTATAGATATGCCGCAGTAGGATTGTAGATCACATTGTGGTTAATATTAAAAAAAATGACGATCGACTCTAAGATTGCATTGTTAACACTAGACTAGATTTTTCTTTTACTAAATTATTTTTGTTAATACGACTGCCTAAACGGGATGCCATTTTGTGAAAGTATTACAATGTGTTTGCTTTTAAACCAGCTAGAATGTAATACGAAACAATCAGACTGCGGAAAATATACCTATTACAATATCACATTTTATTTAGACTCAAATCTTTGACTACCATTCTATAACGACTTTTTGACGATTACACATTTTTACAAGACTTTAGTGCAATGTCTGAAATAGAACCAACCAACCACTCATAGTTTTTAATTTTGTAACTTCTATCCCACTACATTAATATTTATTAGTAATTCTGCTTATTCTAAAGTAGTAGGTATGGATTACATCTAAATATTTTTTCAGCGTTCATAACTGCTCATCTCTCTTCTACTAATATTATTCTGACTGGACTTGAAAAAATATATAAAGCATGAGTAAAAATATTGCACAGGTACTTAAGTGTCAGTACTAACAGTTTATGGAAAGTAAATACTTTTCATTTTATTCATAAGTTCAAATATCCACTGGTTCGGTCCAGCCCCTATTTTAATCCTTTAAGGATATAGTCTCGTTTAAAATTGGGAAGAAAGGTAAACCCACAGACAGCTCGAAACTAGATCTGTGGGTAACTGGGTTAAACCAATATTTCAATTGTACTATAAACTGTTAACATAAAATATAAGGAGGGTTATCAAAATATGTAAATTGATGCGTTTTTTTTAGATCTGATTAACAATTTTGAGTAAAGTTGGTTTTACAACACGTAACTATTATTATTGTCACAATAAACATCGTGTATATGAAACACGGTTTATGGAATACATATAAGCTAGTTTATTTAATTTAAATACTAAAATATGTTTATTTAAAACAAACTGAAGAGATTCCTAACTGGTATTTGATATGATTAAAAATAAATCACTAGTAATTGACAAATAAAAAAAATATTAAATAATCCACAAAAAAGTACTATATGCACAGCAAAAAAATATGATTGCAAACGTTAAGGTTAAGGAGGTTAGGTTAAGTTGGAAATGAATTTTAGTGCAGTGCAATAATATGTATTTATTTGTGGATCATTTAAAAAAATAACCCAAGTAATAATGGGCTTAAATCTTGCATGAGAAACATAATAAACTTACAACTAATTTCTCATATATACTTATTAGAATGAAATGCAGCGTCTCTTTTTCATTCTCTTTAGAGCATGATAAGAACAACGCTTTTAAGAATAGTTTTAAGTTTAGCGAATCCTTTCTAAGATAGGTGCAACAACTCTTTTCATTTACTTTGATCGAAATTTACTCGACCGCAAAGAAACCGGGTCACCCGCAAGTACCTTGGAACTCTTATTAGATTTTCTTAAAAAGTATAAAACTTACAACTATCAGAGTTATAGGTACTTACAGTTTTCTCAGACGTGTGTTTTCTTGCTTTGTTTTTTTACTACCTATTAACACAAGTAGAAAACGACTCTTCTTTGGAAAACTCATAATAAAAACTAAAACAAAGATTAATATCATTAAATTCCTGTTCATTTTATACATCATGAAATGCACTTTGTTTAGGTATAACTTTGACCGTAGTAAGTTTTATTCTTTTTGAGAAAATAAAATCGAAGTTCCGATGTAGCAAGTGACCCGATTTATTTGCTGTCTTTATTAAGAGAGTCCAGTACAAGTTTTGCAAGTGTTCGACGACTGTAAATAAGCTTGTTGTTATTTTCCATGCAACCCACTCAACGAGAGTATAAAACCTCAATAAATATAAATATATATTGAGATATTTTTTTTTAACTACCAAAACTTGTACTAGGTACATACAACGTGTTCTCTCCATAGTACCACTATATTTTTTGATATTTAATATTGACACTTACCCCTTTATTAATAAACGAAGAATAAGCTTGAATTAGTTACTCTATGTTTTGTCTCTTCAATAAATGACAAATGACATTTGAGTGATATGAACAAAACACGGCGTAACTAGTCTAAGCTTATTCCTCATTTATTAATAAGGCGGTTATGGTTTAGTATCTATGTTTTAAGGTTTCTTAGACGATTGAGCGGGCGTCTCATCCAGCAGCGTTTCGAGTTGTTTAACATCTGTCACTGGCAAAGAACACGCATACCGTCGGCACACGTAAGCTGTCGGCGTATCCCCTACGCTCCTTATACGGCTTAGCACTGTGAACGAGATAATGTAATTGGTAATTAGGTACAAAAGATGCCTCATTCCATGATCAGTAAACACGCATGTGATGATTGAAATGACCACCAGAGGTCGCTATAAAAATAATAAATGTAATAAGTATGGTTAATATTTTGCAGAACTTTTAAAGTTCTTTATTTTATCTGAAAAAACTATAGCCTATATCTATTTTCTGATGTGTAGTCTGAAATGACATTTATTAAGATACAGTGTATGAAATGTTTTTCTAATAATCCAGTCCTCGTAGCATGAGCATCACAATTTACATTATATCATTATACCCACTTAACATAGGATGGGGTAGTCATCTGCCTACCTATCTATTAAAAAAAATATCATGCTTACGCGCCTAACTGTCAAACTCCAAAGTAATTTGACAATTGAGCATGATAAAAACGAGCTACATAATATTATATCGTGGTGATCATGCTAGGGAGCTTGTGCATGTGCACCTTTGGACAAATGCTTGGTTAATTATGTATGTACCACATCAACAGAATGAATAGCGACATCTGGTGGAAATTTTCAAACTCGTTTAGTATCCAAAGGCAAACTCAAAGAGCGTAAAAAAATCAATATGGTATTGGTCAGATGTGACTAGTGAATTATGGACTAAATAGCTACTGAGCTAATAACATTAGCCAATACAATTCACATTTTATATTGATGATGAGTATCTACTGATTTCTTCTATAACATTCAAGCAGTTTGGTTTTTGTTAACTTTCCAATACATTCAATGCAGGCAAAGAACGAATTAAAAATTCTATATAAAACTTTATATCAATACAAAAAAAAACTTTTAAACTATTAGATTATGGTACAGTCAAGGTCACGTTGGTACATAAAATTTAATAGCACCTTATTATCTTGTAATAAGAAGTTATATAAATAGGAAAAAGGCATACTCTGACATAGCCTTGACTGTAAAAAAAAACGACGGGCTGCACTCCGGGAGTGCCGGTAGAAGTGAAAACTTGAATATTAACGTTGTGCATTTTTGATATTTTGGAATGGTTAGGGAATAATTTTGCACGAATTGCTTTACGTATCAGTATAAAAGTACTATCATGTATGTGGTAGAATACAATATTTATTAATTGCGTTATCGTACACAAACATGACAATTTATATCACATTAAAAAGTTTATCTCTCAGAAAAATCACCTTACATGAATCACATTCAAGCGCACCTAGCGATATCTATTAAAAAAATGCATTTTCTTCGGAATAAAGCTGCCACCTGGCCGTCCTAATTAGAGACTTATTATTATAATACGATAAAATAAAATATTACTTTGTTTCGTCCAATATATTGAAAGTGAACAACCTTTCCAATTTTATTGTTTTGACCCATAATAAAAAAAGTGTACAACGCCGCTACAGAAGTTTTCACTTCAAAAATAACAGCAAACTTTAATTATAACACAGTTGAATAAAACGATGGCGATGAAAATTTCCGTTTATGGCATAACTTGGCGTTAACTTGGAGAAGCTTATTTGCGGCATTAACAATCATTTGACATAGCGATAATGGATGTGCCTTTTAGTTGAAATGTTAGAAAAATTCTGCCTAAAGGCAACCAAAAGCAGACCAAAGTCTTTGCAAGACTATGGTAACAGAATAAGTGCAACAGCATTGACTTGTACTAACAATTTGCTTTTTTATTATAACCGAATTTGTACATTCCATTTCCTTGTGTGACCAGCAACAACAAGTGGTCAGTTTTCGAATCTGGTATCCCCATTTTATTTGTCATGGGTTGAAATCTCCGCCATAGCGAATGGAATGCAGTCATATTCTCTCTAAAATAGCCCTTTGCTTCTTTTTTGTATTGTCGGGTATAAAAGACAGGTTATGTGTTTTTTACTCAGGCAATTCTCGAAATCTAAATTGATCATGATGGAGGTGCGTATGTTAATAGTTACTCTACAATTTTCCACTTGTTAACTCACGTATGTCTGTCTTATTGACTGGTGATCCCTCAGCGAGCACTGTAATAGCCAGCATAGCACAATTCACTGGGAGGTGAAATAATGTAAATAGTTTTACCTTGGATACTATTTCAAGTTCCGTATCCAAGGGGTGACAAAGAAAGCATATTGCAGTCCGTCCGTGTGTTAGCAGGCGTAATTGGTAGATAGATGGTTGCAATGTTACAGAATTTTATTTCGTGAGATGGTATGGATCTATATAATATATAGTATCTAAGTATCTATATAGTCCAAGTCCAATCATCGTACCATCATAGTCCAATTATTTGAGCAAACTAATCGGATTTCGTGATTGAATGTCCCGTAAAGAAAGTTATGGCAGTGGTCGAATGCTCTTCTAACGCTAAAAAAAATCACTTATGGTCCAATGAGAATAAGTGTCAGCGACAAAAATAAGATGAGAAGTCACGAAGTAGGCTAGCACAAAGAATGGACATTCTGTGCATCGCTACATCTAAGTTGAGGAGTCTTGTATATCTGCGTTTCAATCAACACAAGCAACTCACGACTCTGATGGCGGCACTTCATTTGGCGATTCGGTGTTTGCGTTTTTGTGTACAAATTTTTGGCAAAAAATGACAAAAACAGTTTTTTTTTATAGATGGGCCCAACAAATGACTCCACCCCATCTGATGTTAAGTGAAGGTGAAGTCCAGACGCGAAAATAGCTGATACAGCAGTTCTACCTGCCACACCAGCCATCCTTACCCTGCCGGCCTGCATGTTGCTTCTTCACGCCTCTTTTAAAGGATCCCAGGTTGTAAGAGGGAGGGAACACGTGAGCGGGCAGAGCATTCCATTTACGGATAGTGCGACAAAGAAATGAGTCACCAAATTTCTTTGTACGCGTTGGAATTGTGGCCCAGTTAGACGGTGACAACGCAAGCCAGCGCGCGTGGTCCTCTGAAGGAAAGGAGAAGGTGGGATAAGAGAGAATAACTCCTCAGATCACGGCGTAATTGAAGAGGCTCAAGGTGTTTAGTCACCTCCTCATCGTCTATGATGCGGATAGCATGCCGCTGTAACCTATCCAAAGCATCGAGCAAGTACTTGGCGGAGCCATCCCAGAAGTGCGAGCAATATTCCACGCAGGACCGCACTTGCGTTTTGTACAAGAAGCACAGTTGATCGGGCGTGAAAAAACGCCGCACCTTGTACAAGACTCCGAGTTTGCGTGAAGCTGTTTAGATCACGGTTTCGATTTAGTTCTTTGAATTAAGGTCTAAGCGAACTTCCATACCGAGCACGGAAATATTGCTCTGTAGCGGTAGTGCTGTGCCCTGAAGAGAGGGAAGGGGAAGGAATGGCGATGTTTTTGCCGTGAAAGCGCAAGCCTGAGTTTTCTTGGCATTGAACTCAACCAAATTCCTGGTACCCCATTCGGAAATGTGGTCCAAAGCCTGATTGAGTTCAATGACAAGATTCTCCCGTTTCTCCTTGGTTACCGGTATTACAAATATACGACAATACCACCATCCATACATGGCGTCTAAGAACGAATAACCACAGATTAGCGAAAATAAACACAAATATTACGAACATTTGTGATTCGAGATGTCGAAACTTTAAAATGTTTACAAAATGGCGGAGGAATTAGCTCTTGCAGCGAGATATTAATATATAATTCCCTGCAATAATTATTATTATTAATATTATAAGAGAAACATGAAAACTAACAAAATGGTGTGTTGTGTTCCTAGTTTTTCTTTATTTTCATCTTCGTTCCAACCGAGTGTTGCTCACGTTTGCTTTTTGTTACAGCTAGTGTTTAGTGGGATCTTCGGCCTCGGATTATGATTCCTAAATTGGTTTCTCTACCTTTCCCACTAGAAGTGGCAAATTTACAAGCCGCGCAATCCAAAAAAACTAGCTACACTATAATAGGCTAGTTGCCTATATTTTAAAAAGTGGTTAATAATATACCTTGATGTTTATTTAACCCCAAAAAAATACTATTTTAAATAAAAAAGTACATTAGCAATATGTATTTTGTATTTTAAAAAACTTATTCAAATTTCCCTCGAAAACGCTCTAGACTGTCATGGCGTCTAGAATGACGTCACGCCGTGCAAAGCAAACAATACGCTGTACGCCAACTATTAAAATTATTTAGTTAAAAATGAATCCATCGCATTACAAGTACTGTATAGTGTCCTAGTATAAAAGGAGAAGCATAAAACGCCAGAAAAATTATTTATATGCCACAAATGCGGAAAAAATGGTTAGAACTTGCAAGGAGGGATGGTACCTATTCATTGTTTATCAACAAATACAAGAATAATTTTGTGATGAACATTTTGATGTAAGTATTTTGCATAACATAATCAATGAAATCAAAATGTTATACAAGCCGGATAAATTATATTGCTCTTTTTTTGTTGGTCTGAGTGTATTATATTGATAAAACAATGACAATAGGTTGAGGTTAGGTAAGCTGATTTAATTTTATGGTATGATTTAGAGTCTATTTGAGGGTTCAGTATATTTATTCATAATAATAATTCATAATAATAAAACACTTCTTATTCTTGTTCTAGTTGCCAAATGATATGCTTAATTATGTCGAGTAGTTATGCGATTAATTTTTTATTTTGGTTAAAATATTATTATTTGCTTCGGTAAATCCCAATTCCATGGATTTATTAGGCTTCCTTTCAATACTTATCTGAAAACAAACTGATAATTGTATCAAAGTAACAATAACATGAATGAGATATCAATGAAATGTATGGAAACGGCAACCACAAGTAATGTTTTGCACGTGGTGACGTCAGTCTTTCTGATTGGTGTTTGCCGTCACGTGATCTAATGCCTATTTTATTCGAATTTATTTTCTAAAAATAATAATAATCTTTAATTATTATGATAAATAGCTTTATTTTTTGTTATCTGTATATCATAATTCATATTTAGAAACTGTAACCCATTCGATTTATTGTTAGTTGACACAAGCCTATTGTATCTTTTGTTAGTCTGTACTCCTTTGATGTGCGCTGAAAAACCGACAACGGCGCGGTAACGCCTGTTTGTATTTGTCCTGTTTGCTAAGTATGAAACTAAAGCCAATGTTTTGTCAAATGAACTTACCATACTTGGCCACAAATGCCCATAGTAGGGGTGGGCGTTTTTAGAATAATGATGCGTAATAACGATGCCAGGGATGCGACTGGATGCCGTTATTGGATGCCGATGCCATCTAGTTTTTGTCAACGTTACTACAGCAACAGTGCCACAAACTTATTTGAGCTGGTGAAAATGTCGCTAGCGGTGAACAAATATGTCATGAAAATGTCACAATTCTATGGATAAATTGTAGTTCACATTTTCGCCACCGGCACTGAAAAGTTTGTGATACTACGATACTGACATTCACTTAGCATCGATGCGATGCCGGCATCGGTGTGCGGATCCGATGCGATTTATCTGATACCAATGCGCATTGATTTCATAAATATCTAAAAACGCCCATCTCTAGCCCATAGCAAAAACCATAGACATTACATCCATAGACTTACTATCCTATATCTATTTTTATGACAAAAAGACCAGCCACACTTGGTACCAAATAACGCAAAACCACCGATCATTTATCTTTTTTGTCAAATATGTTGATATTTGTCAATAAAGCAAATGTTTTGTTGATCAAACTAACCACATTTGTTGAATATTTGTCAAACATTACAAAAATGCAAATAGGAATGGCCAAGTGAAGTGCCACCATGAAATATCGGCAACTCAACAACACAACACATCGAGATATTGTATAATAATTATGTAGGAGGAAGGAAGGTGTCGTGTAAGTGAATCTACATAAGGCGACTCACGTATGGGTTATGACCGCCATACCTGCGAGGTCAATCAATCAATCAAAGCCTGATATTTGGTCTCTCTTCATTTATGTAATGATGAAGTGAACAATGAAGTGTTCTAGGTATCGCCTCATCTGTGTCTAGTTGTCTTAGTATGTTAACAAGGAGAAATGTGATCGATAAAGGGATTAACACAGACTAGCCCATACATTTATTAACATTGTCAATTTTTACTGTAAACCTTGAAAGCTTGGCTAACAAAATAGGTGAAGGTTTGAAACAATATGTATCGTTTTATAAATAATAGGTTGGGGAAAAAGTCTTTTCGCATTATAGTATGTATGAACTTATAAGAAAATCTCTTTAGTTATATCATTTGTATCTAGCTGGTTTTGGTTTCACAAAAATTTTTAATTTTAATGAAGATAATTACAAATTCAAATAAAAAAATGCATGATTTTCATTTGTTTTTTATACTGTTAAGATGAGTGAATATAATGAAAACATTCGTTACTTTTTAAAATTTTGGAACAAAAAAGGTAAAATGCAACGCAATTTGCGTAAAAAAATTGTGATGTTTATGACCTATTGTAGAGTCTGTGAGAGTAGCACAAATTTGGTTTAAGCGTTTTAATCTGGAAACTTTAATGTCAAAGATGCATGTCGCTCTGGTCGCCCTGTTACGGGCAAAATGGGCATATCTGTAGTTACGACGTAGTTGATGAACTAGGAATTGACCACAAAACAGTATTGGCGTATTTGAAAAAAAGCTGGGTACACAAAAAAGCTCGATATTTGGGTACCTTACGAGCTCACTGAAAGAAACCTAATGAACTGTATACTCGTTTGTGACTCTTTATTACGACGTAATGAACCTTAAAATTTTTGAAGAAGCTGATAACTGATGATTTAAAGTAGATCACGTACGACAAGAACGTGTGAAAAGGGTCGTGGTCAAAAGCCGGTCAGGCTTCATAGACTCTGGCGAAACCCGGGTTAACTCGCAACAAGGTGGTGCTTGGTGCTGTGTGTATGGTGGGATTGGAAGGGCATTATTCGTTATGAGCTGTTACCGCCAGGCAGGATCATCGATTCTGAACTCTACTGCTAACGACTGATGAGATTAAATCAAGAAGTTGAGAGAAAGCGGCCGAAATTAATCAACAGATTACACTCCTTCTGTTGATTAACACAACACACCGAATAGGGAAAATGACAACCTTTTTTTTTCTTCGTCTATCAGGTAGATTATCAAATAGTACTAGATTCGTATTTTTCTTTTTTGCCATGATCAAAACATTACAGAGATATAAATGTCGTATGACGTTACATCTTGGTACAATTTTTACTTAGAAGTGACGTCACAAGTACCCACTCCTAAACTTTGACGCGCTTTATATGTTACATTTTTTGGTTGATTGACAAAGAAGTAAGTGTCCATTATTTTTTGATAATGTAACTGACGGAATGAATAGAATTTTGCTTACTTTATCATCGCTATCATCCCTATTAAGGAATAGATACAAAAGGTTAGAAGGACCTCGTAGCGGACATAGACGGAACATTTCAGAGCGTGATATAGACAAAAGAAGATCCGTTTTTCCCTTGTCTTTTCAATGAAAAATTGCGGTTCTCACTCAAAATATGACTGGTGGCTTTTCAATTAAAAAGAAACTTAAAATATATTCTATTTATCGCGGTGCGTAGCGGCGACACCAGTCGTATAGTTTGTCCATTCTATTATTATCTTTTTGACAGATCGATCGAAGTAAAAATAGTGACACCCTATTACTTATTTATATCGTTCGATTTAATGCTAGAACATTGTTTAATCAATTATTATCGAAATTATTTTAGTTATCAAAAATACTGGTTGTTAATAAATTATTACAAAATCACATTAGATTTATTATTTTACCTAGAACAAATATTTGTGTGATGAGCACGAGTATTTGTTCTGTGTCTTGGTGTGTTCTATCTATAATATGTATATATATCAACAAATAAGCAGTATACTTTTTATATGTTTGTTTAACCTAATACTAATACTCTGTACAATTAGATTTATTGATTATATAATAAATAATATCATTTAAAAAAAGGATTTAAAAAAACCTTTTTCTTTAGACTTTTTACGTTTAAATATTTTTGAGTCTTGGCAACACCATGTTGTGGTAGTGTATAGCGCCATTTTGAGGTCACTTGTTCACTGATCTTGCGACAGTTGCAACGTAATTCTTCTTTTTCAACATTTTAACAAACGTTAAGTTGAATAGTCTGTCAGGGACTATCAATCTCTTTTTTATACTTTTTTTATAATGCATTTGAAGTGACGCTTTATTGTAAAAAAATTTTGTTCTTTTTTTCTGTCTGTCAATAAAAATCATAATATAAGTAATTTATTTAATAAACTTTATATAATATTTTAATTACTTGGTTTCTACCTTACAATTTGGTTGTACTCATTTATTTCTAGCGATTATTTGTAATCTATGGCACAATCTTAATAATCATTATGTGTGTCGCATCACTAAGTGATGAGTACAAAATTTCATGGGCGTCGATCTGTCAAAAATAATATAATAATAGAATGGAAAGACAAGAACAAGAACTTTTCATATATTCTGTGTTTTTTTTTTGAGTGTGTATGCTGTTGGTCGCAGATGACCTTTAGAGCGTCACCGGGTTTGGTTTCTGTGTTGTGAACTGTGAATCAACACAAGGTGACTCACGTATGTCGGACATACCGGCGGGCGTCTCGGCGGCGGGGTCGGCGACGGCCAGCACGCGGCCCGGCAATAGCCGCGACCGCACCACGCGCACCAGCTCCAGCGTGCGCGGATCCGAGCACCCGCCCGCTATCAGCACCTGCGCCAGGCGACAATTTCACGTCAGATAAACTTTCTTTTTAATCTGGAAAAAGCGTTACGCTCCTAGAACCACCGGGAGTAGCGCGAACAGGGTATCAGAAGACTCCTCCCCCGGTCATTTAACCCAGCCCAGAGGCTCGGTGAAATGAGCGGGGTCGGCGACGGCCAGCACGCGGCCCGGCAGCAGCCGCGACCGCACCACGCGCATCAGCTCCAGCGTGCGCGGGTCTGAGCACCCGCAACCTATCAGCACCTGCGCCAGGCGAAACTTCCGCGTCAGATAAACATTTTTTTGATGTGTAACATCTTTCCTCTCGCTTTCGTGCAATTTGTGGGAGTGATTACGTGAAGTGGGACGGAAGTGTGTAACAGAAAGTTTGGGAAGCGCGCGCTATTTGATTTGATTTTAGGACATAATGTTCAAATGACTTATTCCTTTTGTAGTAGGTTTTATTTCTTTTTTTACTAATATAAGGTGAGGTTTCAAATGTTACACATCATACCCAACGATATTAAATTCCCTAGATACACCAACACGAACAAAATCATGCCCCAAACCTGTCCAAAAGGTATATTGAACGATCCACGGAGCTCCGTAAGATGATCGCGTAGTCAAAATGAATATAAGACATTATTCAAATATTAAAAGTAACCTTTAATACATACGGTATAAGGTCTTAAATAAAACGCAGGCGTCAAGGACTTCTGACAGTTCGAAATGCAAGCTCGTAAAATTTTACGACTTATTGCTATATGCGGAAGAATTTAGACCTTAGTTCTTTGACTCTACGCGCAATTCTAAACGCGCTGTTAGCAATATAGCAGGCACGGACCGGGAGGAAAAGAGACGGCTATATTGCGACGTATAACCGACCATGCATTTGAATATCACAAATATTCTATATTAATCAGTTTATAGTAATTATTAGATCACAATTTGCTTCAAATGCGTTAAATTAACAAACATTGACTAGATACCTATCGAAAAAACGACACCTTTAGTACTCTAAGTATTATTTTCGCGGAGCTCTGTGGCATCTTGACTTTGTAACGGTCCGCGCGTCACTGTGAACCAAGAAGTGCTTGAGTGGAGTTCAAACACTTCTTGATTGGGACACATTTTGAGCGCTCGTGGTGTATCTAGGGTATTTAATATCGTTAATCATACGCGAGTACTTTAAGACTCGCTCGTTTTTTTTTAAATCTGGTAAAATCGTTACGCCCATAGAGGTATAAGAATAGAGTAGGGGAGATATAGACTCTACTACAAGTGGAAGTGTCCCACTAATAGGAAGAGAAAGAAGATTAGAGACCGCTAGCCATCTCTCTCTAATCGCGCATGCGCATTGGCAACCGTAAGCATCTTACTATTTCGATGTGATGCCATTGGATGATATGCGTCACAGGGGAGAGAGATAGCTAACGGTCTCTCATGTTCTTTCTCTTTCTACTAGACGGACACTTTTAGAGCCGCCTTCCCCACTCTTTTCTTATACCTCTATGGTTACGCCCCCCAGAACTACCCCCTCGCCCATTTAACTCAGCCCAGAGGCTCGCTGAAATGAACAGTACACCTAGTATGAGTTTTAATCGTTTTCGAATTCGATCAATCGTATCGTCTCGTTTCCATAGATTGTCTAGCAGCGCCTCTAGCGTTAACTATCAAAAACAAAATCAACAGTATGAGTTTCATTGAGTCATCGTAAAACGAAAACTACCAAAATTTTTGTATGTCTTTTGCATTTTGGCAATACAATTTTGACAGCGCGTCATGAGTATACTACGACGTTTGATCGTACCGTCACTCGATTAGAAATTTTCAGTGACTAAGTGTTTTGGGTCAAGTTTTTATGCAATCTAATAATGTTTTCGGCACAATATTTAGCTCTCATGCTCGCTGAAGAGATTGACGAAGACCAGCGTGCACAGGAACGACGGGAATTATTACAGCGGAGGCGACTAACTTCTTTTATCACCGACAGGACAGGCATTTTGCACAATGTATAATTATATTTCTTTACGGCCTTGAAGTCAACCATACAGGCAACTTTCACACAGATAATTGTAGGTTCTATACTTTCTCGACACAGATTAAGTCTAGACCTAGAGTTTTACATGGATTAGCTTTGTTTAAGGTTGAATCGAATGAATGGCTCAGCTATCTCTTTTTTGGCAATAAAGAACGAAAGTGAAAACTAAACAGTGTGAAGTTCGTTTCATCGAATCATCGAGCATACGATATCGCGAAGATGAGGAGTGAAATTCTATACTCGTACTGCGACACAATTCGAAAACGTATAGTTTGATCGAATCGACGAAGACGATTGTTCGTTTCGTATTAAAAAAACTCATACTAAGGGTACAGGGCCCTACCCAGTAAAAATCAGATAATACTCCTGCACCAGTTACTAGACAGCTACCGGGAGTAGCACGAACAGGGTATCAGAAGACTCCTCCCTCGCCCATTTAACCCAGCCCAGAGGCTCGGTGAAATGAGCAGGGCCCTACCCAGTGAAAATCAAATAATACTCCTGCACCAGTTACTATATACGCATTACCGAGGTCCTCCTAATGTGCGCCGGGAATGGAGGCAGTGACGAGGCGCCCTACAAGAGACTGGCCACTCACCCACAAGATTTGTCAGTAGACGGTTTGTATATAAAATTGCTACTTTCAAAAACTTCAAAATGTAGAAGATCCCAGTGAAATAATAAGTAGGTAGGTACTACTTTTTGATGCCACTACCTTATCCCATGATTACGGTTAGCAACGCTACAAGTGATAATCTGGTATCGCTAGCGCCGATAGGTTATGATGGCCGCTTACCATAAGGCGAACCCATATGTATTTTGCACCCTTTTTACGCCAAAACAACATGCCCACATAATTTTCCCTGTGGATTTGGAGCATACGATAGGAGAAAGTACTTTAAATGTTAGGGAAGAAAATATTAGTATGTGGCTATTAGTTTAAAGTGTCTAAATCGGCGTTAGTTACTTGACTTGTACATACAACTGGACTGGCACGAAAAATCCATTTACATTCGGTGCTAGTATTGCAGCGAATTTGGCACTAGCTCCTGAACATAATATAATATTTGCCCTCTTTTCGAGACATAATAACGGGTAATGTGAGTTTATGGATCTAGAGAAGAGATTAAACAAAACGGGGAATCAACAACTTGAAAATCGAAAACTATAGGCGCTAATAAGGAACAATTGTTTTGTATAGGATAACCAAAGGTGTGGAGGTCATTCGAAAAAAGGAAAACAAATCGAGACACAATTTGTGTAATAAAGGTCGTGCAAGGTTATCTAGAACAGACATTATTACGATGTTTATAAATATACATCATGTTATAATGCGTGCAAAAGCATATGATAAGCTTATTGAGATTATGATTGAAAGCAGAGTAATTAAACAAATTTTATTGTAAATAAGATTTTTGATGTATTAGGTATAATTATTTCGCCCAGAGCTTATGATTATACAGGAAAAATAAGAGGGATTGAATTTTATATGTGAGCGGTAAACAATGTTGTATTTCCATGTGATTAGTCATTGTTAAAACATCGTTAGAGATTTTCTAAAGCGTCTACGAGGAACAACGAAGCTACCTACTACAGAAATAACAAATACATGATATTAGTTGCATATTGCATGGAATCCCGTGACGTTTTCATATGTACCTATTGTGTGACATAGTAGACACATTTTATATAAGAGTAGCAAAATAAAGGATCGGTGGTTACTGCAAATTTTATTGATGCTTGTCACTGAAAAAGATATTTATAGAAACATTCCTTTCATATTTACATTAGAAGACTGCATAAAAATAAACTTTTATTTTTGTAATGTTGTTTCTTGGGTAAGGTTTCAGGCAAATACAAGATTCACCATCTTTGTGGATTTTTAAGCTTCTACCTGTGGGCCAAAGTATACTTATTTATCAGCTTCACCAAAGGCCGCCACTTATTTAACATTAAGTTATCATCTTGCAGCATAATTTGGTAAAAAAGGAAAGATATTCTTACTACCGTTCCACATTCAATCTTTGTATTGTTATTTACCTGAGTTGGTGAGTCGTTATAGAACATGAGTGCTGACATCATTTCAGGCAGCGAAGTGGGTGCTTCCTTGAGCCGCTTAGCAAAGGCTAGCAAAATCTTTTTGGCCATTTCTCTCTCGTGGTCTCCACCTTCTGGTACCGCGCTCTTGTCAGCGTAGGCGGCCAAGCGCTGTAAATTGTGACAGGATATGCTGTTACCAGATGGTTCAGCACCATCTTGATCTGTTGAAATGAGAAGAAAACCTCATTCAGCATTAAATTAAATCTGAAGCTTATTACTGTTATTTATAAACAGGAAAATTAAAATCTAATCATAATTGATGGCTTGATGGAATTGAGTAGCACATGCAACAGTGGATTAGAATAACTAAAAGATATTATCAAAAAGTCAATCCGCTAACCTTCTTTTAAGCGCAAAACCACTGTGCTGTCTTCTGTAGAGCATGTGAAATAACCAAAATTTTCAGGGTCCCAGAATAACTCATTCTGAGTTTGCTGCAACTCACGAGCCCAATTCAACCACCTCAAATCTAGAGATGCTTCGTAAAGGTCCAGCAAACCTTTGATTAAGAATGCATAGTCATCCAAGAAACCCTTAATTGGTAGCTCACTGAAAAGATGAAGAGTACATTATTAGCTTTTCTAATAAACAATACACAGCTTTGTTTGAGTTAAATATGTTTACACACATTGTTTACTGTAAGGCCTTTATAAATCTATAACCTGTGTAAGAATTTGAAGTATTTAATTAAAACTTACGTTTGAGCAATTGATCCATCATCGACTTTATAACAAGAATGCAGCAAAATTTTTGTAGTTTTGTCATACAAATGCTTTTTTACAAATTCTGCTGTTTTGATAGCATCTTCAACAAATTGCTTTTCCCCTAATGCTTGTCCAGCTTGGGCAAGGCCAGCTATCATCAAACCATTCCAGGAACATAATATTTTGGTATCAAGGTGAGGTCGAGGTCTCTCTTGACGAGCTTCATAAAGTATACCAATGCATTTAGATATCACTTGGTTAAATTGTTCTTCAGTTATTCCGAACTTTTCTGTAGTTTCTTTCTTTCCGCCATAAACAATCAGCACATTCTTATTTGTAAGTTCACCATGGGGGTCACTACTTGGAGATATATTTCCATCTTCTTCCACGCCAAAGTAATCACAAAATATATCCAAATAAGCAATATCATTCAGTTTTTTGCCTTCTAAAAGCAATTTTAATTCCTCATATTCCCATACACAAAATGCTCCTTCTTTTTTATGTGAAGCACCATAAGTTGGAAAGGAATCTGCATCCTCAGCGCTGTAATAGCCTCCCGATTCATGTCTCAGGTCTCTATTCACATATTTGATAATATCCTGAACCACTTCTGCATAAAACTCTTCTTTTGTAGCCAGGAAAGCATCTGTGTATGCAACAAGTAATTGTGCTTGATCATACAACATCTTTTCAAAATGAGGTACATGCCAGTCATTATCAACAGAATAACGAGCAAAACCACTGGACACATGATCGTGTATGCCTCCCTTAGCAATCTTAGTCAACGTGTGGAGACACATTTCTAAACACTTCTTTCCATCGGGATTGGATTTGTCACGAGCATAGTAGTGAAACAAGAAATTAAATATTGATGCCTGTGGAAATTTAGGAGCTGTGCCAAATCCACCAAACTCTGGTTCATAGTTGGACATGAATCTATGGACACATTTAGACCAAGCTTCATCGCCAGGGAGAGTAGTAGATTGTTCTGTTTCAACCAAAGAAATTTTGTGGAGTGCCTCAATGATATTTGTTCCTGCTTCAACAAGTTGTTCTTTGTCTTGTTTCCATTTCTTTGCCAAAGTCAGCAAGATAGTTTTGAAACCTGGACGTCCCCAACGATCTTCTGGTGGAAAATAGGTCCCTCCAGTTACAGGACGTAAGTCCGGTGTAAGAAAAACTGACATTGGCCATCCCCCACTGCCAGAGGTGGCCATGACAAATAGCATATAGATACGATCAATATCTGGCCTCTCTTCCCTATCAACTTTAATGTTGATGAAATGTTCATTCATTATTTTAGCAACATCTTCATTCTCAAATGATTCTTTCTCCATGACATGGCACCAGTGACAAGTGGAATAACCAACTGAAAGGAAGATCAACTTGTTCTCTGCTTTAGCTTTATCAATTGCTTCTTCACACCAAGGATACCATTGCACTGGATTGTGAGCATGTTGAAGTAAGTATGGAGATTTCTCATTTATCAGTTGGTTTGTATATTTTGGTGTTTCTGCAATATTTGTTTCAGAAGTAGGTGTTGTCATCTTTATGATAGTATCACTAAAACTCCTTGCAACGTTGGAATTAGGGAGACTGTTGTGTCCCAAGGATGACAATCTGTAGTCAATAACAAATTGATTTTACACTTTTGGTAGGTACACACTTGTAAAAAACATAAAATTTTTATAGTATATATTACTTATAACAAATAAGTAATATAGAATGATCATTTGCCCTGAATATTACAACTGTTACTTTAAGAAATTGCTAAATAAAAAATACAAAAATTTCGCATAACAACAATCATTCAAGACATTTAGTACAATACAATCCAAAAATCTGAAGATTGCTTTGTACTAAATGATAGCCACAAAATAACTCTTCAATAATAATGAATTTATATTAATTTATGTTTTGTTATAAATGTGCGATCACTCATACAAGTTAGAAAGTATCTAGGTACATGTTACGTATGAAGAAATACATTCAGGTGTACTTGAAGTTGGCAAGCAGTCAATATTCAATTTAATGGGTTCATGGACCTATTTGCATTAATTTACAACGATTATGTTCTTCCTTTCTCTCATGGTCCCAGCAGGCGTAAACACGATCTTGTAAACAAAACAAGGTCATATTGTTCAAGTATTGCAAATAAATTATAAAACTTGTTTCGAACCATCGAACTTTTTTATAATTAGAATGGATTATTGTACTATATCTTTTCCTCCAGATCCAGCTCTTCGATAATCTAGTGGTACATACCTTTTCGGTAGTCCTAAATCTCGGTGATTGCAAACCGGGCTCACCAGGGCCTCCTTGGTGGTGGAAGTTTGGCTCAAATTTAAAGTCTTAATTTTACTGTCACCAGACAACCGCCTCAATAAAAATACAGCACGGCTACCAGGCATAATAATTTGTTTTAATTTTGCTGTCACATTGAATTTATTCTTAGTTTTGTTGAAATTTGTACTCGCCCACAAAAGACGAAACGAAAACTAACTACGACGCATGCACGATTTTTTTTTTGGTTTATTCTCTCTTTTAAGGGAAGGCAAGGGGAATAATGCCCACACAGCCTAGTTTAAAGTTCAATTACTCTGTTTTTCTTTTTACATTACAATGTTTGTGTGTGCTTTTTCGATAAGCTTCTGTGAGGTAGTCAATACTACAATAAAATTCTCACGTCCACTTGACCGGAATAGCGTATATTTTGACGATTCTACTAATTCTTCTGTTACGCAGACAGTTGTAACACAAAATCCCACCAATTTTATTTCACAGTATCCACTATGAACGTATGAACGAATTTAAGAATAATTAAAATAAGACGCCAACCACACTTGATGAAATCCCACCAAAAACTCCTACAACGGACGAATGAAGGAAATTGCGACATGTTTTTTCTTAATATTTCTTTAATATTAGGTCCAATGATATAGATACATACAGCCAAATCTACAATGGAGTCGATTTTGGTATCATTCTCTATCTCTATATGTAAAACTCAAAGGTGACTGACTGACATAGTGATCTATCAACGCACAGCCCAAACCACTGGACGGATCGGGCTGAAATTTGGCATGCAGGTAGATGTTATGACGTAGGCATCCGCTAAGAAAGGATTTTGATCAATTCTACGCCCAAGGGGATAAAATAGGAAATGAAAGTTTGTATGAAACTTTGTCAATTTTAAACCGATTGGGCTGAGACTGCATGCAGGTATAAGAAGAATCATAGATGAATGTCATTGTGTATAATACAAGCCTGAGAACAAAAACTGTAGTCTACACTTCAACTCTACACCGAAGCGAAGCGAGGGCGGGCCACTATTACAAAATAATAAGGAGAGACTGGTGTCGATTCTCTAAACCTAAAATTAAATTTGACCACAATGCATCCTTGCATTTTATATACAGAACGAAAAAGGGAGACTAATGTTTTTTTTAACTTTAGATAATCATGCCAGAATCACTGATGTTAAATTTAGTTTTAAGTTTAGAGAATCATCTGATGCTTGCTATCTCTTCTTTCAAATGTTTAATACTTGCAAATATTATATTCATTTGACATTGTGGGTTACCTACAATGCGAAGAAATGGCGCTGCCTTGCAGCTTAAGAATGGCTAGAAAAATTTCGACGCGGCCATCAGGGCCGCGGTAGCATAATTGGTCAGTGCATTCGCCCAAATAGCGAAGGGTGCGGGTTCGAGTCCCGTCTGCTTCCTGATCGGCGTGGAATTTTTTCTAGCTATATTTTCTTTAGGTAATAATCTTCTCAAACTATTAAGTACCAAAACTGAGATGAACGCCTTCGTATTTAGGTAAAAAAACGGTATATCGTATTTGCTATGTTATTTTGTAGGCGTTAATGTAACATGAAATAGGTAGGTCGATCATCCCGTTAAAAATAATGATTTTTAAATAAGTTCTGTGCGCTTTTTGTGTTTTTTAAAACCTCTTCATTCTGACGGTTTACAAAAAAAAAATATTTTTGTTATCAGAAAATGCAAATACCTATATTTTCTAGATTTTTAGACGATCACCTATTAAGGGGGGGGGGGGGGGGGGAAATTGGTGTATCGCGATTTTCGGAAAACTATAACTACCTATTACAGAAAAAATTGCAATGCCAAAATTGTAGGCTATGAAAAGCTCTACAACTTTTGCTATAATAGCAAGTTTTAAATAAGTAACCGAAAGTCAGTTATTTTGATTTTTCACAGAAATTTTTAGGTTCTGTGGAAAAAGTTGTAAATAGATCTTTTAATTGTTGTCAATTTTGCAATAGATTTTTTTCTATAGAGTAAATAGATCTTTACATTTGTAAACTTAGTACCATTTACAATCTAGTCGGAAATGAAGTTCGACAGGACCACACGTTTTACCATAGTTATCAATTGCTTAACTAAAAATTTCTGTGGATTAATCGTTCAGCAATGTAACAAGGCGTTAGGTAGGGCCCTGCTCATTTCATTCGGCCCAAGGCCTATCTGAAATGAGTAGGGATCAGTTCCACATACCTTCTTCTCGCTCCCCCTGTGGTTGAAGGATCTGTAAGCAGGCGCGGTCGCAGCCTGAAATTTTGGAGGGGGTCACTCATTACACTAATAAAAAATAGGTATCTGGAATAAAATAAACATGGTACTTAATTCCATTCGTTGTGCTGGAATTTCGGGGTTGTTTTGATGTGGAGGGAGGGGGGGGGGGGTCTCCCCGACTCCCCCCCACTAAAGATTTTAGGCGGAAATGCATGTTTTTTATTAAATATTTATTATTTTAATAATTGATTATTTTTTTAAGGATGCAAGGGCTAGGGATGTAAGAACCAGTACTTTTGCCTTATCTCCGGCGCTGTGGGAATAGCAGCCCTTCCGCCTTTGCGTGACAAAGTCACAAGCATCACTCCCCTTCACACCTTCGGCTTGTTGGTCGCCACCTCTGGCGGCGACCAGCCTCAGGCGCTACGGATGCTTGCGGCTTTGTCACAGCAGGCGGGGGCTGCTCTCCCTCCGTCCCTCCGGGCTCTAAAAATCTCTCTAGGGGTAGGGCAGACCAATACCACGGCGTGTCAGGGTTGACCAAGTCGGTTCTGAATTAAATATTGTTGTAAAGTCATATTTACCTTTTTTTCTAAGTGTTAAGTCCATACTATTTTTTATTTACCAAGCAAAAAATAGCAAATATAATTTTTACCGACGAACACAAAGACGGTTCTCAAAACAAACACAAAATGCCGGAACATCTGTCATTTTGACAGATGTCAGATGACAATAAACCATTTTTTTACCACAGACAACGAGAAACATGTTATTTGTGCATATAAATATGGCAGCACTGATCAAAATACCGGTCAAAATTGACTTTAACCTATAAAAATATTAATTTTCAATATTTTTGGAGTTTACTCCTTAAGAATCGATTTGCATATATAAGGGACCCGGTATGAGAAAAATGTGAGGAGTAAAATCTATCGATGAATGACCTCGTTACGTTTTTGGTGCGCATCCTATGTCGCGCAACTTTGACAAACAAAGATGACGGATTGACAATAATATTTTTTTAAAAATCTGAACTGAATTTAGATATTGTTTCTAATAGAGCAATGGGAACAACGAGGTATGGTACAACCATTGATGCGGTATTTTCAAGATTCGTGAACCACGTATCTACGAACGTCCATGTGTCTTATTTTAGTTACCATGAACCACTTGTCACTGTAATTAATAATGCAGACAAATGTTGATTTAATTAATATTTAAAAAAATGATAATAGTCTGATAATAATAATTACATAATTTATCAACATTCCTAATGATATATTTATGCACATCTGAAATTGACTATTGTAAAAAGTTTAATGTAAAATATTTCGTCGATTAGTTAAGTATAATAAATTTATATGAAATTAATAAATATATGTTTATATATGTACATTATTGTCATTAATTTGTTAATTTACCCTTTCATACAGTATCAATCTTTTTTAAGTTAAATAAACTCTTTTTGCGTCTGGTTAGACTATCGAACTTAGGAGTAAACTCCAGTCGTGCGTCGGAGCTGACACACACATTTTTTTTTCTAGAGTTCTATTCGTTTCCGTATAAAAAGATTTCGTGTACGTATTTCTAATAATTAATACTTTCCGTGACAAGAATTTCAGCTCGTTACTCAACCACAACTAATGGAAAGCTGAGTCATAAACATTATTGCACAAGACACAATTTTATTTTATACATTACTTATAAAACAAATGGAAGTCGTCTTTTTGTATTTGCGAATCGGGTGATCATATTTGAGACGTCTGGTATTATTTCCGGGTGAATGTTTAGAAGAGCTAAATCTGTTAATCGTTCTTCTAACATGTTAGTTCTCAACCACGTTTTTAACTAAGTAGACAGCCTTTATCTTGAATCTTTACAATAAACCGACAAATTACATTATTAGAATATATTGTATATACAACCTTTATCATAACGACGCATATTGATTTTGCTAGGATTACCAAAACTACGTAGTTCGATTCCTTGTTTCTAAACTAGTACTAGATGTCATTTCCAAGTTATTTTGGCCATCGTACGTGTTCATAAAGACACCACTAGATGTCAGCAAACTATAAAATTTATCGCTGTTAGGAGATAGCTAGAAATTTCCTTTTATTATTTGGCAAATTTTTGAAATTTTTCAATTTGACCTTAGATTTTCGCGGGGAGGTCACAGGGGACATGACCCCCCCCCCCCCCCCTTCGGACCGCGCCTGTGAGTAAGGCATTTCCCAGACAGAAAAAAGGACATGTTCATATATATGACGCGACTACCGCTGTGCATGCTTAGGTGGGAGAATGGTCAATCGACCACCATTAGCTGCATCTCCTTCGGTGTTAATCTTATACTCTTTTCGAATGCAGTTTGGCTTGGTTCAACGGAATGAAAGTTAACGATTCTATTTTGAATATGATGTAAGCGACAAAATCAAATAGGTAGTTATTGGCGTTTTGACGAATTATGAAACAATAATAATTACACGTGGTAATTTATCGAGCAAACCTCACATGAAATAAAGGCAGTATAAATATGTAAGTTAGAAGGAAATTTCACGTCCGTATTCCCCGAGGACCAGAACCAAATGCAGTAATTAATATTTATGTCATGTTGAAATAAAAACTATATTGACACTTATCATATTCCTCCTGTCTCCTTGCCAAAGCATAAGCATAAATTCTGTCGCTTCAAATGTTGTGTATACTATTTGCCTGCAATTTTCGTTACATTTATTTATAAATCTATGTAGTATATAACTTATTTGGAGTGAATAGTGAATGCCAAACAAAATGCGTGTAAAAAATATTTCTTTCATAAATTTTTACGGTGACTTTTTGAAAATTTTCGTTTATACAAATCTTGTCCTGACATTAACGAACACAATAAACAAGAATTATCCAATTTGGTTCAGTCGTTCGGAAGTGATGCGCATAAATACCACCAGCACAGGTTATGTGAAAAAAGTGTAAATATAAT